TCAATATCCACTCTGACAAGTGCAACAACTTTTTTAAATGCTCGTGGCTCAATTTTTAATAAGGAAGCATGACATTGACAGAAATAAAGTATTAAGTACTGCCTACTTTGTAGCACAGTCTGGCAACTCATACTCTTTTTGACAAGCCTGCTGACAGAGCCAATAAAGCCGTCAACACTGTGTCAAAGATTGAAGTGGCATTACGATGGGATATACGTGTAAGAGATAGAGAGTTTGAACATTTAGCTCCACTCAACTTAGAAGCACAACTGAATTACAAACCTGTTAATTAACGACATTTTTTAAAGAGAGCAAAACAGGAAACTTACTTGATTTCCTGTTTAAGCACCAAGCTATGCATTTCCTTCTGCTGGAGCTCTAAACAGTTCACTTGGCTGGAAAGCTCACAAACAGTTTGTTTGAGGGCACCAACCTCACTTTCTAACTGCTCAATCTGTTTTTCTTTTCTGTCAACAAGAGATTCATTTTCACCCTTGGATTTGACTTCTATTTGGTTTGAATCTTTTCTTGTGACTTCCATTTGATAGCTTACTACAATTTTCATTAAATCCATGATTTCATGGAAATGCTCATTAGCAAGGTGTTTTCCGATATCAGATCGTAAGCCCTACAAAAAATAGAGAAGACTTAATTAGTCTAACTATGTATGAACTAAAGAATTATAATTTTTCAGGCTCCTGGGAGAATTTCAGGTAATCAGGTAAACTTACGAGGAAAAACTGACAACATCAGCAAGTGCAAAGGGCATTTGAACTGTTTGGGTAATGATGCCATCGCAATTTCTAAAAGAACTTGGCTCTTACAGTGAAAATTACATGTATACAACTTCAAAATATGAAATAACTGCTAGTTAAGTACTGTTTTGTTACCTCAAATGCACATCCAACAAGGTTAAAGGGACATTCTACCTTCACTTTTGGGCAATAGTGTTCCAAGTGGAATTTCATCTAATTAAGAAAAAAGACACTAACAAATACATGACAATAAAGCATTCAGCTGAAAGATTCAGCTAAATTGAGGATTGCTAGGGATGCAGTTTCTTTAACCGGCTGCTAACTCTGTTTTAATAACCAGCCCATAGATTCAGTCCCATTTTCTACTACATTTTATGCTGTAATTTCATGTGTTGATACCACTGAAACCTTTATTGAGTGGTCACATGCATGGAATGTCAGGATAACTGTGTAATACAGGTTCCACAGATAAGGCCCATTATAAAAAACAATAAACAGCACCACTTTATGGCATAACTGGCCACTTAGTTTAAAGAATCTTTCTCAAAAATACTACAGTAATTTAATTTCATTTTGGGAGAGAAACACAAATTTAAAATAACTTGAAAGATCATTCTTAGTTTTAGTTGAGTGATTCTGCTTTAATTGACCATTCAATACAGGTGTTAGACAATACAAACAGACCAATGGGACTCAGGAAAGAGTGACTGTGACCCCTTAACCCTTTAACTCCCATGAGTGACTAAGACAGAATTTCTCCTTACAATATCAAGCAGACAAGTAACAAGAATGAAGAAAAATACAAGTTAGGGGATTATAAATTGATCCATAAAATTCCCCACATAAAAAAATTGCTACATAAAATTGTTACCTTGTCTCTTTTAATGCCCTCCTCTTTACATTTTTCACATTGCTGAGGATACTTGGAGCAGTTTTCAAAATGTTTCTAAAAAGAACAGTCACTTCAAATCATGATTAGGTAAAAAAAATTGACATCACTAACATAGAGGAATAAGTCTGTGCTTGAACCAAGTGGCTCTGATCCAGCTGGAGCATATCCTGCTTTTCTTAACAGGAAGCAACTACTTCATTAGCACCTTTTTCTTTTTATCGTTTTCATTGCCACCTTATCACCACCATACTGCCACCTAGCATAATTTATTAATATATATGTATATATATACATCAGCAATATGCCTCTCTTCGTGTTTTTTGTGCTAAGCGTAGTTCAATAACATACTGCCATTCTTGCTAGTCTTTTTCCTTTTCTTTTTTTTTGGCCCTAGCATTTGCAGTATCAATATTGGTCTTTTCTGTGGTGGTAACTATGTAAGTGCTCTATAGTCCTCTATCTGTCCTGTTTTGTAATTTCTTTATATCATATACTGTGTAACTTAATTGTAATTGTTTGTTATTTTAGTTTTAACCAACATCATTTTACTGTTGAGGAGTTAAAGTAGATGTTTTTTTGTCGCTACACAATGTGGAGTTGTTAATTCTGTTGCCACAAATTTCAATTTCACATAGTGAAGTTCATTATTATAATTAAAGTACTTGACAAGAAAAGTTAATTTTTTCTTTGGGTCACTTTTATAACTTAGAGGCTTGCCTCAACTTCGTTCCATAAAACTGGATCCTCACAATGTTCGCATGGAGTTTTCCTGTACAAGCACTCAGCTTCCATGTGTTGGTGGATGTCTCTCCTTTGTAGCTGTTTGCCACAGTTGTGTTTACAGTTCACAACAACAAATTGGCATCCACTTAAGTGATCCTGTCAAGCAGAAAATTGAGAGAAGTACATTAATCCTATGTAGCCACTTATATATCAGAGAATAAATTCCTTAAGTTTCAAGGACTGAAGTGAAAACTTTTGAGAATTAAAAACTTTCAAATCGAGGGCATTTTCCTCTTATACAGTGCTTCAGGAAGCCAGGAGAGGTTGATCTGTTTTAATACCTTTTGTTGTCCTTTCTTCATTATACTCATACTCAGATATTAAACATAATAACATTTATAAACTAGCTACAAAAGGGAAAAGCCTAAGGCATTTGCTGTTAAATCAATCTTTTAATTTTTTGTTTGTTTGTTTTTTGGCTGTGAATGTGTTTTTTAGTGAGGTTTGGTATCTATGTAAGTCCAGTCAACCTGCAGTCTTTCATGGTCACTAATCTAAATCTAGACAATATCAAACTGGACAGGTGCTATTACCTGATAATTCAACATACATGTACCTCGTGATGCTACTCATTGCATGAGATCATTCAGAGATATACATGATGTTGAAAACATGCCAACACATATTTCCTTATAAATTGAATTTTCAATTATCTAGAAGAACATTTCTCTGTTATCACATCTGCAGTTCAACACAAGCTGAGCATATAAGACAACGTTTTTCTCTAATAGAACAAAGATCCTTCTCATGAGTTTCCAGTTTCTTATATTCACCTATTTCCAATCTCTTAGTGCAACGTAACAACAAAACTATCGCCCATAGTTTCTGACATATGAGTTGTAAAATTGTTTATTACTGTTTGATTCTTAGAGTGTCTTCAGTCAATTACTTTCTGTGAAACTCGGAAAACCATAAATATCAGAATTCATTACAAAATGTTGTTTCTGCATCTTAATGAATAAGCCTTTAACAAATATCAGAGGTAATTAGTCTGAGGCTTTGAGGTTTGCATGTATGTCTTACAATTTTTTGTGATTGGTCAGTACATAAATGCCCTGTCACATTTACTTCAAAGTGTTTATAACATTTTTCTGAATTTAACTGGAAACAACTTACATCTTCTGCCACCCAAGCAGAGCTAAAAATATCATTGAGTAAAGGGATAAGCTTTGGTGGGTGCTGCATTGGTGGGAGAGTATAACAAGGTAATTTAATATTAACAACTGAGTTAATGACATAAACCGGCCAACTTTAAGAGTTTCAAAGCTGGTATTTTGCTGTTAGCCCTTCCTCATTTGCTCTGACGAAAGGCTAACCTTCGAGACATCAGCTTGGAAACTCTTAACAGTGGCTTTTTTACATTATCAACTCAGATAATAATAACAAATTACCATAAAATTTGAGTGCACAAGCATACTCTGTTCATACCTCTAATGTTGAAAGGGGACCTTTCCATAGACACCCAGATTGTTTCTTGGCTTGACATAATACTTCAGATTCCAAAATTTCGCGCTCCACAAATTTGTCTGGGTAAAACTAAGGAATAAAGATGAAAACAAAATTGACTTAAAAGTTTTGTTACAATTTACCAATTTAGGCTAATTAAGTCATAATTACCAAATGATGTTTCATATTAATTAATGTTTATCTCATCATCGTGTACCAGACGAGAAATTTGACTAAAAATGCAAAATATACTGTCTAAATTTCAATGCTTTTCATATTCAACTTGGCCTTTTCACTCCTAGGAACATATAAACATTTTCAAGTAGAAAAGGTGACAAGAAGTGGAAAATTGATCAACTTCATATTGCTTGATTAACCACCAAATTTTACTTAAAAAAGTGTAAGTGATGAATTATAACCAGTGTGGAGAATAATTATTTAGATCTTCAGAGTTAAATGTTCAACCCATTACACCAACATCAGTATATGTAATTATCCATATTGCTCTCCATATATTTTATAACTGTGGTGCAGGTAAAGAGAATCTGTTCAGCAATCGAGAACATCTCTAGTTGGTGATCATTTCCTTTATTCTTGTGATCTTAATGTATGATTCTGGGGTGATATTGTAAGGAGAAATTGGAAGCTTGTCACTTAGGGTTTAAGAATTAAGAGAAAAGTGCTTTACCTGTGATTCTGACAAAGGTGTCCTATCCAAAGGGCAAAGTGAGTCACCATGGCTATCCCTAAAACAAGTAATGAAGGATATGAATGAATAAAACAAATGTTACAATCTTATGGGCTGCATTTCTCACTACCTAGCTGCTTAGTGACAGGTTTTGAGTGAAGTGCCTAGCATGCTGCATGACCCATCAGTATTATCCTTCATGAGTCTGTCCTCTTGTTCAGTACTGTATTGCTAGAGCCGTTTAATATTTTGGTATAGTTTAAACTTTAATATTATAATAGGCAGTTGAAAATCTTATATTGATAATTGCACAAAATAAGTGAATAAATAACTAAGCTGCAACCATTTTGGTCACTATGGCATGTAGAAAAAACTTTTTCAGTAAGAGTCACCAAAGAGGCAACCTGTCTTCAGTGGTCAAGTATACAATAAGCAAGCTGTAACATTTTCAATTTTATTACCTCAAATTCAAGGGAGATAACATCAGCCTAAACACCACAAAACACAGAGGCTAGTTTTGGGACTTGACAGTTTATTTAATGCATATATATATCCTTCCTAAATAGCACACTTGACTACTACATAAAAGATATTTAATGAACATGCTATAACAATGATCCAGTAACCAGGAATAAATTACAAACACCAATGAAATAAAGAAACAATCAAAACTGTCAATGGTGTGGGTGAGAGGAAAACTAAAACTTTCTTAGAAGCTAGAAATAACTTGTGGCCTGCTTGTTGGCTTGATTACTAATAACACACGCACAGATACCTAAGCAGTAATATATTAAAGTAATTCCGCAATTAAAACATATATATAGCATAGCATACATATATATAAACATAGCCTTTGTTTCTACCGAAAGCCATGACTCTTATGCCAAGCAAATTGCTCAATCCGAAGAAAAGGACTAACACATAACCTGCCTGTACCCAGTACAGACCTCTCAGTTATCAATGTCTAGATTCATACTAATAGAGACTTTATTCACATGAAATATTATGAACTAGTTCTCAAGCAATTACTTGAGAGGCCATGTTAAAATTCAACGACAATTGCTTGCTATTACTTCGATTAAAATTATATTTCTGGCAACCATGTTCTGATTTCCTTTTGCCAATCTAGGGACTTTGAATAACCTTGAGCATAGGTGCACTGTACTAACACAATTAGTTTATTAGCTTCATTTTCTTAGTGTCATAGTTAATTAGGGAAAAGAGAAATATCAAGTTCGGAATGCATGGATTAAAATAAGAGCAAGTAATTCAGTTATATATACGTAACCATAACTTAATGCATTTGTCTTTCATTTGTGACTGTCATAGCCTTATATAGTCTCTATTTAAGTAATGACAAACAATCGCTCATACGCGAAGAAACCTAAAATTTTCCAAAGTACTCTTTCAGTGCACACTGAATTTACGCATCCGCCATTTCACTACCAGGTACCCAGGGTGGTCTGTAAACTCTAGGCAATCGATGGAACATTGATTCAGTTCGCGATCGATCGATCAAAATCGGCACAGAATCAAAATTTCAGACTGCCGAACAAACTGCTGAAAAATCGATCCAATATGCGAACTGATCGTTTAAGATGCGAAGCAAACAAATGACATGAATGGATTTCAAAGTATTTAATATGTATATAAGATTAGTTATTTCTACTTTCTTGTATTATTCGACTATTTGTAATTTTAAAATCATTCTAATACAACATCCCAACTTCAACTACATTTCACATAGTACCTCATTGAATGTAAAATGCATTCTCTACAGAATCTGTGGCCGCAGAACGTCTGCACAGGATTTCGAAGACCAAGATGACAAATAGTACATTTG